CTCTTTAAGTCCGTAATATATCTGTCTTGGCTCCAAGTACACTATCTTTTCTTTCCTCCACTGAGCCTGAGACCTGCCCTATATGATATTCTCTCTGTCAGCGTTCCTTCTCGTTCCACAACCTTGGCACCCTGCGGCTTCTTCCCACCCCACTCCAATAGTCTTTACCTAGCTAATTCCTATTCATCTTTCAGCTCTTTGCACAAATGTCACTTCCTCAGAGAAATTTTTCTTGATTCCCCCTAATATACTTTCATTTCCTTTAGAGCTCTAAGCACGTTTTGTAATTTCATTTTTGTATTCCATGATTGTTTGTTAATCTGGACTATATATGAGGTACAGTTCATAAGAATTGATAATATGTGCCTTTGCTATACTGTAAACTCAATGGCATGTGTGACTTTTGCCTGTAACAGAGCCTGGCACAATTTCTTCATGCATTCAACAAATATTTGTTGCATATCTATAATATGCTTGGTACTCTTCCAGATGTGAGCAAACAATTCCTAGTGGAGTATATATTTTAGTTGAAGAAAGGTAGTAAGCCAGATAAATAAGTAAAAGATGTAATAGACGATAAATGCTAAAGAGGAATATAAAGCAGGAAGGAGTATAGAGTGTATTTCTTTGTAGGCACTGCAGTTTTAAATAGGGTGTTGGCTGCAGAAGACCTCACTGATGGGGACAGTTGAATAAAAACCCAGGGAAGAGGGAGTGAACCATCAAGATAACTTGGGGCAGAGCATTTTGTATGGAGGGGAAGGAATGTGCAAAGGCCTGAATTGGGAAGGCAAGTGGTGTTTTCCATGAGCAGTAAGTCCACTCTAGGTAGAGTAGAGTGAGTAAGGAGGAGAGTATTAAGAGACAAGGTCAGAGAGGAGATGGGGACCAAGTAGTGAAGGACTTTGTAGGCAATTTTAAGAACTTTGATTTTTTTCTTTGTATGATTGTGACATAATCTAATTTACATTTTTTTTAAAGATTGGCACCCTGAGCTAACATCTGTTGCCAGTCTTCTTCATTTTTCATTTTTCTTCTCCCCAAAGCACCCCCAGTACATAGTTGTATATTCTAGTTGTAGGTCCTTCTGATTGTGCTATGTGGTATGCTGCCTCAGCATGACTTGATGAGTGGTGTCATGTCTGTGCCCAGGATCCAAACTGGCAAAACCCTGGGCCGCCAAAGCAGAGCCACGGACTTAACCACTCAGCCATGGCCACAAGGCCAGTCCCTAATTTATATTTTAATTACATCCGTCTGACTGTTTTGAAAATACACTGAAGGGGAGCACTAGGGAAGCAATTACTAGGGTATTACAATAATCTAGAATGAAATAGTGGTGCCTTGGACAAGGCTGGAAGATGTGAGTGGTCAGAATCTGGATATATTTTGAAAGTAGAGTTGACAGGATTAGCTGACAGACCAGACCAGATAGGAATGGGGTATCAGAGGAGAGACTCAAGATGACTCCAAGAGTTTTGGCCTAAACAATGGAAGAATGCTTTGCCATAACTCGAGATAGAGAACACTGTACAAGGGACAGCTTTGAGGAGGAAGATCAGATTAGATTTGAAATGCTTATTAGATATCTGTGGTAGCCAGGCTTCAAGGTGGCCCTCAATGATCCTTACCTCCCGGATTTACTCCTTTGTGGAATTCCCTCCCACATTAAATCAAACCTGGTCCGTTTGACAGATAGAATACTGCCAAGGTGATGGTGTGAGAGTAAGCCACCTTGGAAGTGGATCCTCCAGCCCCCTAAGATGACTGAAACCCCATCTAATACCTGACAGGAACATCGTGAGAGATGATAAGCCAGGACCCCCCAGCTAAGCCACTCCTAAGTTCCTGAACCACAGAAGCTGTCTAGTTTTAAGCCCCTAAATTTGATGCAATCTGTTATAGCTCAGTAGATAACTAATCCACCATCCAAGTATAGAGTAGGGAGTTGGAATCTAGAGTTTCTGGGCTTGTAGTTTGGTAGCCTTCAGAATATAGATGGATTTCAAAGCTGTAAGGCTAGATGAAGTAACTAAGGGTGTGAGTGAAGATAGAAAAGAAGAAAAGTCCAGGAACCAAGCTCTGGAGCACTCTAGTGTAAAAACTGGGATTATGAGGATCAAAGAAGCAAAAGAGATGAGAAGGAACATCCAGTGAGGTAGAACACCCAGGAGAGTATTTTGTGAATATCTCATTCATTTTAGGATCCATTTAAATCTCCACCAGGTGTTGAGTCCCATGCTTGTTTCTTCCTTGTTTCTACAACCTTGTTATGCCTGGTACATAATATGCATTCAGTACATGTTGAATAAATGGGTGAATGAATACAAACAACAGTGGAATAGATTTTAGACTATAGTTTGAGGAGAATGAATAAGTACATTGAATAGCTATGGCACCATGTATTTAAATGAGAGATCACTTATGGGTACTAAAAGTACAAAACCATCCCCTTGTCTCTGCTGTCTCCCTATTTTAGTGGAGACAAAAATCATGAAGGTTAGGTGTAGATACTACGTATTCTGGAAATTTTGAAACTTGCAATTAAATTAGTGATGCCTGAAGACCGTCACTTAAATGTAAAAACAGAATCAAAAGTAAAACGAAAAGGTTGTTTTTACCAACCTTTAGTAAAAACAAAATAAAACACTTCTTCTTCCTCCCCACTAGGCTCCAACCACAAAGGCCTTGTTTCTGTCCCTGCCACTTGCGAAGTCTATTCCTGCTTTTGCCCCTGCTGTCGTTCCACTGGCCTCTGATCTTTGCGTGACTGGCTCTTCCTTATTTTCAGGTCTTAGACCAAACATCTCCACCTTAGAGAGAGCTTCTCTGATCTCCAGTCTAAATAAGCTTTCATTATCCCCAAGTCCCTCTCAATCACATCGCCCTGTAGTATTACTTCCCTCATGGTACCTACAGCTATCTAAAGTCATCTTGTTTGTTTTCAATAACTTATTATTTGTTCTCCCACTAGGATAGAAGCTTTTGTCTGTCACTAGCTTCTCACAAATCTAGAACAATGCTTGGCCCATAGTAGGCCCCCCAGGAGGTGTTGAGTAAATAAATGAATCGTCACTTGCACTGATGCGATTATTTAAAAGTGTCTAGTTCTCATTTTTTTGGATTAAAAGTAAAGTTTTTACTTAGGAAGGTATATATCTTTATTTCCTTTTACATTTCTTCTGTAATTAAAAAATTTATCCTTTGCCCATTTTTCTTTTCTTTTCTTTTTCTGAATCAGCTTGAATGTACTTAAGATACTAACCCTTTCTTTGACTGTCAGGTTTGCGGCAAATATTTTTCCCAATGTGTTTGCCTATTGATTTTGTCCCTGTTTTCCCTGGGCAGAAGTTTAAACTTCAAGCAGTCGAATGTAGCAGTATTCTCCGTAGTGGCTTATTTGTCTCAGGCGGCATCGAGCAGTGTCAAGCGGGGTGTTCTGAGGTTAGTTTACTTAGAATCTGTGACTTTAGGCAAGTAGCCAAATACTTAGCTACCAAATCTCAAGTTACTCAGTGGCAGTTTTCTCATTTGTGCAATGGGGATCAGGGCACTAAATATGTCACAAAATTGTGAGGATTAGATGCACTTAAGGATGTAAAATGAGTCCGGTATTGTGCACACTGGAATCGCTCTCAGTAAGAATGGTTAAGAGCTCCCCTGTCACTACTTTAAGGCTGATTCCTTCCTTGTTCAGATAGTGGTACAGATTTTCTCAAGTATTTTTTTTCTTTTCCCCAAAGCCCTCCAGTACATAGTTGCAGGTTCTAGTTGTGAGTGCCTCTGGTTGTGCTATGTGGGACGCTGCCTCAGCATGACCTGATGAGTGGTACTAGGTGCACGCCCAGGATCTGAACCGGGAAACCCGGCCCCGGAAGCAGAGCACGGAACCTAACCACTCCGCCACGGCCAGCCCCTCAAGTATTTTAGTTCTTTTATCCTTCAGGAATTCATTTAGGTGCAAACATCTGATTTTAATGCCTAAAGTCAACTTGGAGCTTTCCGTACGGAAGTGACCTGCTAAGCGGCCTTACAGCATCAGCCCACAGGCAGCAGCAGACCGCCTCCGGGGTACCGGGCTGGCCGGGCCTGGGGCGGGGCCGCGCCTGAGCCACGCCTACCCCTCCCTCTGCTCCACCCGCCCCACTGCCCCGCCGTAGCCCCGCCCCATAAACGCCTCTGGTCCTCCGCCCCGCCCCGCCGCATCAGCCCCGCCCCTCCCCGCCCCTCCCCGCCCCGTCCTCCCTGTGCTCCACCTGCCCCTCCGCCCCGCCTTAGCCCCGCCGCATCAGCCCAGCCCCCTCTGCCCACCCTCGGCCCCGCCCGCCCCTCCGCCGGGCCCTCTGCCCCACCTCGGCGCTGCCCCATCGGCCCCGCCCCCACCCGTCCCCGCCAGCCCTCGCCTTAGCCCCGCCCTCCGCCCCCTCCGCCCCGCCCCTCCGCCCCGCCCCAGCCCCGCCTCCCCCAGCCCCTGCCTCCCCCAGCCCCGCTCCAGCCCCTGCCCCGCCCCATCCGCCCCGCCCCCCGCGCGGGCGCCCGCCCGTTCCGCGAAGCCTCCCGCGGCCTGGTCTCGCTTCTCGCTAGCGTCGCCCCCGAGCCGGACGTGAGTGCGGCGGGCCCCGCGGTCCCCGGGCCCTGCGGGAGGGGGCCGCGCCGGGAGCGCCGCCGTGGCCGGTGCGGTTTGGGCCGCGGTGGGGTCGGTGGAGCCGCGGCGCCCCCGGGCTGGCCTCGAGCGCCGGGCGCGGTGCGGGCCCCGCCACCTCGCGGCGGGCAGGCAGGGGCGGGCTGCGCCGGGGCGGGCAGCAGCCGGGGAGGGGACGGTCCCGCCCCGCCCGGGGCCGCGGAGGCTCGCTGAGGGAGTCCCGGGGGCGTGGGGAGCTCTCCCGGCGGCCCCGCGCCCGCGCCGGCCCCGAGCCTCCGCCGTGTCCGGGGCTGCGGCCGGGCGCCGGCCTCGCGCTGCAAGGGGATGCGCGGGCTCGCTTCTCCTCGGTGTGACCTTTCCGCGGCTGCCCCTCTAACTGCTGGTGAAATAGAGGGCAGGGCGAGATTGAACATAGCGATTATCGATTACGGGACCCCGCAACACTGCCAGACGATCTTTATGTATGTTAGCTCATTCACTGCTCACAACCACCAACTTAAGAGGTGTGCTCATTCCCTTTCATGCGCCGGGAAACTCAGGTTGAAAATTTCCCAAACCTGACACAAGCGGTAAGTGGTAGCCTGAGGGTTGGAATTCTGGTCTTTATGATTTCAGAGCACAGGCTTGATGGCTTGGTGTAAAGAACATCACTCTTTAGCAGAAGAGGGATACCTGGATTTCAGATCTGTGCTTTGAGATGTGTTAGCTGTATGAGCTTGGACAGTTTACTTAACCTCCCAGGGCCTGTTGCTGCATTCGTAAAGTGGAGATAAAATACCTCCTAGGTCACAGGGTTGTTATGAGGATTCAATGTGTATTGAAAACACTTAACAAAGTGCCTGGCACACATTTAGGCTATAAACCTATAGCTTTGTATGTCCTGCTCTTGTCATTATGGGGTCAGCTGACTCCAACTCTGAGCCAGCCAGAGCCAAACCAAACTTGTGCAGGCCTGAAGTACAGGTAGAGGGAAGCAGGTAAAGATAAGAAAGAGCTGAGAACAGATGGCATGTATGATGACAGTTCAGTGACCACAATAGATGCATCTCTGGCACCCAGGGCCGCTTTTCTGCCTTTGAGAGAGTTTTTAAAAAGGCAGTTCCTTTTGACTGATAAATTGGAAAAATGCATCCCTCTCTGAGCTAAAGAAATTCAGAGGCAAGTCTGTGGGGCTGGGCCAGGCTGAGGCTCTGGACGTGACGGGGGCCGAATCTCAGGGCGCCACAGACTGCGAGGTGCCTGGCACAGACCCCACGAGGAAGTGTGCAGGTCTCTTTCAGGATTTCTTCTCTCAGATCCGGACCCTGAGCAAAGGAGAGGGACAGGAGCTTTCAGGATGGGGCAAACAAAAGGATTCTTTGCCTTTTTGGGGTTGCTCAATGACTGACCACTTAGGATTTTAGTGTGAACACTTTGTAGACAATGATCTTCATTTCTACGTAAATTTAAGACAACCTAAGTATCGCACATTTTAAAATATTTTATTTTTGTATACCCTTTACAGTGCTGTTACTACTGCTGCCCTGCATATTTCCATCGCAGCCTCTGTTCAGATACCCAGTTCATACTGTACCCCAGCTCCTATCAATTCTTGCTATAGCTTTAGACGTACTTGCCTTGCCCTCCCCTTTTGGTACTATCGCTGCACTTTTTGTCTACCATTGTTAGAGTTTTCTTTTCTCTTTCTTTTTCAAAACTTTCTTTACTCAGTGATTTAGTATGCTAGAAAGTTTGCCTGTCTGCAAAACTAGGAAAGTTAGTGTTGGATGTGAAATATGATTAAATAACATTTCGACTTTCAAGGATTTGTAATGAGTCATCTCTGCTCATCAAAGCATGGTCTTTTAGATGGGTCTGTTAGCAAGGATCAATGCCACTTTGGTTGGTGGTACTCAGCAAGTTTGAGGAGTCCAGGCGTGGGCATTTAGTGTACCCATGATTACCTTCACCCTACAGGCCAGCTTTCTTCTCACCAATGTTGTTCCTGCCTGTTCTTACTTATCTCGTAAGGATTACTAGTCAAGGTAAAGTCCAAACAATTAGGTGGGATATTTGGTAGAAGATTTGTCGAAAGAAAAAGTGGCTGAGAAGGAGAATTAAATTAGCACCTAAAAGTGAAGTATCAGATTTTAATTACCTACATTATTTAAGTTTCTGATATGATAAGCAAAAGCAGACATTATGTATACATTTTGATAAGATTATGATAATTACATTTAAGCTGATTATGCTGGTTTAAATGTATTTGAAAAAGCTGACGGGGTTGGGAGGAGGGTGTATTGGCATTCTTTTGGAGAGGTTATTCTTTTAATATATGACAGCTTACCAGTATGCAATCATAATTTTTAAAAAGACATTAAAATTAATGTAATTGTCACACTTACCAATATAAATTAGATGGATAGCATATTAATACAGTTTCCTTGTAAAAAATGGAAGAAAATACTACATACTCATTTTAGCAAGTCATTTTGAAATGTCCTCTTAGCAAGCGGATGGATTATGTCTGGTTCCTGTGAAAATTGCCACAGCACCAGTGTGGTTGCAGTATGCATTGTCATCAGGCTGTTTCAATTTTCTGAGCTTTTAGTTTACCATGTCTCTAGACCCTAAGGTGATAGACATGTTAAAATAGGTATCTGCAACTGTAAAGAGGAACTCGTCTGTCCACATTTTCATCTGTGTAGAGGTCAGGATTTTTTAAAAAGAAGCGAAAATCAAAACAAGTATTTCCTGATGGCAGGGTCAAAATAAGTTTATAAAATATCCAAAATCGCACCCTACCTTCAGTACTTCTTGCTCCCCTTCTCTGCTTTGTCTCTTTAGCACTTGCTACAACCTAGCGTATGATATGCTTTACTTACCTTTTTTATTGTCTGTTTCTCTATAGTGTAACCTCATGAGGGCAGGATATTTGTCTATTGTCTATTTTGTTTGTTGTTGTCTCCTAAGACCTTAGAATTGTGCCTGACACACAGTGGGTACTCTATACATATTTGTTGGATGAGTATGGAGTGAAGGAATAAGTACTTTGAAACTGTTCATATTGGGAAATATAAAGGTGTTTGCCAGAAAGTTAAAAACAACGGAGATGTGTGTGCTAAGCAACCATAAAGTAAATATTCTTGCAATCAGGAAATGTGTATGCATCTCAACAGTCCTTGCCCAACATGCAAACTTTGTAACCTTGAGCAGTCGGAGTTGTTGTCACAGCTTTAAACGGAAAGAATGTTCGTATCATTGTTCACCACGAACTAGTGAGGAGCACATAGTGACAAAATGTCTTGTGCAGTTAGATACTGTACATGCCTTGCTAAGAAGAGAGGGAGGGGGCGGAGTTTCAGAAAGCATGCTTTCTGAGTTGGGCATAATCGGATTATAGGGGCAGGTAAGAAGTTCTGATGAGTGGTCCGACATCTGGAAGATTCCGGAAGGTGGGAAGTTCTTCAAGCACTTGGAGAGGAACAAGAACCCCAAAATTGATGTGCCTTAATTTAGCATCCAGCCTGCCCACTGCCCAGCTGGCCAGAGCTTTACCTAGTCCTTGTAACTTTAAAACTTTCCAGCTGAGCATCCTGGCATTTTCTGCTAGGGGTGCAGCTCTCATTTTCATCAAGGCAGTTTTTGGTAAAAGATGATTCATTTCATGGACGCGTACTCTGTAGCTAACTTTGCCAAGATGGGTGTTTCATGACTGAGTCAACCCTGAGAGGTCACTCCTTCTAACTTTTAACTCCTCCCTCAGTGCACCTACGATCAACTGTTCGTTTGGTAGGCTTGAAAATAGAATCAGTGACATTTCTAAAATGTGTATGCAATAGCCAAGGAATTAGTAAAGCAGTGTAACCTGAACTACATGTTAAGGAAACTCTCACCTACTATGAATCATAGAAGGGATCAGTATATCTTAGGAATTTTCTAGAGAAATCAAGGAAGGGGTCTCAGTCGATTGCTCACTTTGTAGCAATAAGGACAGGGTAACACTGCACATGCTTCTCATGTTTAAAGTAAGAGTGATCAAGTGGTAGCACTTTCTATTCACTCCTGCTTCCCCCACTTCTGTATGTTTAGGTATCAGTGGTAATCTCACTATTTAGATTTTGTTCAAGACAATGCAAGAGTCTGGAAATTCATTATAAAAAATGTTGGCCAAGAACTGATTCCTTTTGCTGCCATGATATGAGCTGAGAGTTTACTGATGGGAGATTCTGTGGATGGTAGTAAAATTCACTTCCTTATTATGCCGCATGTGCCTGATAGACGGGGCCCTGTGTTTTGTTTGTTGATGTGCTTATTTTTTCGAGTCATCTGAGAATGGATAGGGAATTTGATAACAATTTCAAGCAAAGGTAGCTAAATAGTGGGGAGATATCTAAATGTATTTTTTTCAGATTCAGCTTTTTCGATAATGGGAAATGGAGGCTGGATTTGGAAATTTTATCATTTTTCTTCCATTTCTCTTTTTAGTTCTTATAAATTTTCTGCTCTTTTTTTCCCACCTACTTTTTCAGTACTACTTCCTAAACAACTTCCATATTCACCGTAATTAAATTAGACTCCTAGAAACTGGAGGAGGCCTGAGAAGTTACTTAAAGTGACTGGCTCAACTCTTAGCTAACAATTGAAAACACTGGGGCCTTGAGAGGTTACAGCACTTTCCCGTGTGTGGTGTGACTGACACAACTACCCTCCAGTTTTTTAACTCTGATCCAGTGATCCTTCCTGTTTGTTCTTCTTCACATTGAAAAGAAAACGTGCCTATTTCTCTGTGTACGTGCTTTTGTGCTGGACCTAATTCTCTATCCCCATTTCTAGTATCCCATGGCAGGTATAAAAAAAGAAAAATGTGGGCATCACTTTCTTACAAAATACAGGACAAGCTCTGTGTGAATTCCTTTCATATGAGTTTTTCACTCTCAAAGTCTGGATAGTAATTTCTGGATAGTGGATTATTCCTGAGAATAAATGTTGCTGCCCCAAGATGGTCCAGCAGTCCCCTCAGAAAGCATTGAGGTCCTGTGACCCCCATGTAGGTCTGTGTGTGAGGAGACTCTAGCAAGGAGAGAATGTTTTCTTTGCCTGAAGTAATTTGCGGTTTAATGGGCTGTCTTGAAGAGGAACTGCTCTGATGTAAATATCAGTCATTCAGTTCTGTTACACATTGGCAAGCTACTCTTCTTCTGGTTACATTTGTTTAAGAAAGATAGTAATAGTGGTAGCTTAAATATTTACCTTGTAACTTTTAATATCCTGTTGATTAATTTGTGTCAGACTGAATATTACATTTGATATACTAACTGGAAAGCCATAAGGAAATTAATTACAGATTATTGCTGTTATATTAAATAATGATTATGAGGCTTTAGTGCCCTCAGGGCATTCTGGCATTAGGGGATAAAAATCTGGGTTCTTGTCCCCACCCTGCCACTTGGTAGCTTGTTTATCTGGGAAAAGTTTACCTTTTTGGAGAAACATTTTTTTTTCCTAATAGACACTATGCATTGTTTTGACAATTAGTAATGTGGTGAAAAGTATCAGCATACTCTGGGGCAGTCCAGATATTTGACTG